GTTTAACAAACAGAAAAAAGCAGAACAAACACAAATTCAAATTGTCAAATTGTTCAAATTGTCTTGCAAAAGGTTAACTAGGTATGGATGATCTGCTGATCAGAACTGATACATTCTGAATGCTCTATCAGGTTAGATAGGGAATAAGACACGTACAAAAAGACCTTCTAAGTACAAGGAAATTTTAAGACCCAAGCCATTTACAGACTTCTGGGACCTCTGAGCAAGGTCAAGCAGGTGCTGTTTTTTCTGTCAGCATACATAGGGATGGAGGAGTGACGTGTGTGCCAGCCTCTCTCCCCAGCACTCAGGTGGCCTGGCCAAGGCAAGCAGTTGATGGGCTCTACCAAGCACTCAAGTGCAAATCAAGAGAGAACGGCGTGGACCACTGGACTGCAAAAAGCAGGGAAAAAGCAGCATGGCATGGCTGCTGTACCACAGAGAGCAGTTTACAGTGACATTTATATTTCAATGATATAACATAAAAACATGAACATGGCATAACTGTGCAAACAGTCATAATTACTGTGTTCCCTTCCACTGATTTGTATACAAAAAAGAAAAGAGGAATAGATTTAGACTTCCAACTAGGTGGATCATTCTGTTGAAGCTAAGTCAATTAGGTGTGGCACATATTCTGCAAAGTAACAGGAAGCACAGAATCAAGATTTTTCATTCTTACATGGTTATGATCACTTTGAATGGCAAGACCTGTGATACTTACCTTTGAGACAGCAACCCAGACTAGATTATATTTTAATATGTCATATTCAATAGCGTTTCAGTTATTTAAAATTTGAGTAGTTACTAAACCATGAAAATACTAAAGTAGTTGTATTTATAAAAGAAAAGGTATGAGATAGGAAGCAAAAATAAACAGCTTTGCATTTTTGTTCAATTTGGTTAAAGTTTAATGCTATAAAAACTGTTAAATATAAATATGAGGGAAAACAAGCATGCTAAGAACTACTGTAGTCTGTCTTGCATATCACCTTCCCAGAGTGCAAACTCACAGTTTAATGATGATTAAGATATGGGGAAAATTATTCATCTGATTACCAGCAGGAGAGAGATAGAATGAAAGCAAGATACAGCTGAATTTAGCATTATAATCACAAGAAGAATTTTTACAGATATCTTGCAGCAGGGTTTTACACACGGGAATTTCCTTAATCTAATATGTCATTTATTCCTGGCAGTCTGTTCTTTTCTATATATATTTCATTTCTCCCAACTAGAACAGCACTAAGCTATATAAGTGCTGGACCAACTTTTGTCAGATTTCCCTACTGTATATACAGAAGTTTTATTAAAGCATTACATCTTATTATCTGAAAGGTGAGCTAGAGGAGCACCTTGATCATCCTACCAGCTACAAGGGACTTTTCCAAGCCCACCACATAGCTATTTTCAGATTGATTTACAGTAAGCTTTACTCTTGAAGATTCTATTTTTAACTTTGTTTTGTGAAAGTAAATAGAATAGAGTAAGGTGTCCTGGCAGAGAGGAGCTCTATAAAAAGGGCAAAACACAGAAGGATTTTAAGCACATAGCAATTCTCTTAATTGCCTTTTCCCCATATGTTTCCATATACCACTCTTAACTTTCCATTACTGTACAGAGATTATCATTACCATCACGGTTCTGGTGAAGACTATATTTCCCTTTGATTCTTTTCTTGCACCCTGTGTTGTTTTGTTCTGCAGTGAAGTCTTATCTAATTTCATTATCTACCTTTGTAAAAGCAAATGTGCTGCAAAAAATGCATCTCCTCATTGTACAAATACAGAAATTGCAGACTTGGAACAAAAGAACACGAAATAAAGCTCTCCTAATTAGCAAGCAGTAGCATGGAAAAATATGATTAATACTAAGTTAAAAATTATTCTCTGCTATTCAGACATCTCTCCCTTACAGAGAAAATTCTCTTCTAACCCTAGTCCCAAGTACTGGAAACCAGTTTTGGCTCTATTTCTCAGAGGAAGTGAATCTACAACTGTTAAGACAAACCTGGTTCTGACCAGCAAAGCCATGGAGCTCCACTTATGCCTACAAAGTCCTGGATCTTTCCTTACCAAAATGTTCTTCACATTTAGCACCACTTCATGGCAAAAGAGAAGCCCTGGGCTGCTGATATCCTTACTGCACTCTTTGGAGAAGCCCAAAGCTACCATCTGAATTGAAAATTACACTCAGCCTAAGTTCATGGGGCCTGTGATCTCTGCTGTCAGCTGATGCCAGAGTACTACAGAGGAGCACACTCTGCAGCTCATCTGTACAAAGTCTGTCTAAATTTTGACTCACTGAATGGCTGCTGGTTTGCACTGAGCAACTCATGGATCACACATGCCACTACTCAGAGGTAACAGATACAATACACTATTTGCAGTTCCAACATAGTTCTCTCAGGCTAGTTGCTTGTAATATTCAGAAAATAACAAGATATCCCCTCAAAATCAAAAATATTTGGTTTTAAATATTTGTGCTGTTATCCCAGTGCTGTGAAAACAATGTACATTTTAATCCAGTATGCAGACAATGCATTTGGAATTGTTTTTATTTATTAGTCTGGCCACGATAGCAGTTTCCAGAATGCATGCCCAAACAATTAAAATATTTTGAGCATAATATGTTCATTGAGTAAGTACAATTAGATCAGCTGCTTAAAACTGCAGAACTTATTTTATAGTATTTCCTTTTCTGAGTGTATTTACATAATACAAAACCAGATGCTTAATTTCAATAAATTGCAAACTCTTCTATCATATTTTGTAACAGAACTGGGCCATTTAAATGTTTTCAAGTAATTTTTCCATTTGAAGGATGTGATTCTGGTCACTCCAAAGGCCTCCTTATCTGCTCTACAGATTAAAACTATGGGCAAAAAACATGAGTTTTTGAGTATCATTCCTCACATTTTAGAAGAGATTAAGTTTGAAATTGCTTATCTTCTGTCTTTTTGTGGGAAAAGGTGTGCAATCAATGTCCCAAGCACCCCGATACATTACCAACCAGGCCCTTGTGTCTGAAATGCTGCTTATGGCAAAAGGTACAGGCTTCACAACACCACTGTTAGGACCTGGAACATACTTTCACAGATTTTTATATTGAAATTAGACTCTCATATTACTGCTTAAAATACTCACTGCTTTGCAGAGATTTAGTTTTCATTCAAGCTTGTAAAAATATCTGAAGCTTCAATGTATTTATGCAATGCTCCGTTGAGATTCAGTTGCACTTAAATCAAGCAAAAGAAGCCTGCAGTTGCATAGTCAGTTCATCAAATAGCTCTTTGGAAAACAAGAACTATACTTTCATTATTTAGCTGCATTCAAGATTAGAAGGCTCTTAAAAAGATCTTTCACATCATATGGAAGGATGTCAATGGGAGAAAAGTTCTTAAGTATTATGTTCAATTATTCCCAAACAAGATTTAGCTTTCAAATATATAAATGCCTTAATCTGGAAAACTAAGTCCTCATTTTCTCCCATAAACTAATGGGCTGCATTTCAAAGATTTTGACAACTCCCAATTATCCCTCTACTGCCAAGGAAGAACTTTGCATGTGCTCCTCTAAATCAAGCCACTTGATTCAGTGATCAAACATATGATGCCTGCTTTTGAAGTATACTGACTAAGCCTCTGGCATTACTAGGTGCCAGCCAAAATAATGGTTATTAACTGAATTGTGGATTTGCTTGATGAGCAATGGAAGTGTGAGCTGCAGTCTGTATGTGTCCCACTGCTCACTGAAGTGAGACCGATGACATGCACTCCATGATCAGCATCTCAGAATACACTTTGCCTATTCAGTTTTGACATAAAGGAAACTGCCACATTAGGCTGCCTTGAAATGAACAAAAGTTAATTAATCGCTAGCAATCGACTTTTTAAATTTAAATATTATTCTCTGTCTCATGTTTCCTCTTGCACCTAATAAATACCCCCTGATCTCAGACCCCACAAAAAAGGATGATAACACATGCATGGCATTTGAAATACACCTGTAAGTTCAGAGTATCTATTTCTCTAAGACTGAAAGAGTCTTGGTGTTACTGAAGTACAAAAATGATTTCCTTTTGCTGTGTAATATATGCTTAAGTAACACAAAGAATAGGAAATACTCTTGCTAATACAGCACCACCAGCAAGATGCTGACCAGTTTCAATCTGGGTATCTGTAAAGTGAAGCTTACTTCTTGAAGTTCATCATTTTAATAAAAGACACTCACAGGCAGCTGAAGGTTTCTAGCTACAGAAAAATCTAAGAAGTTACAGTAGGGCTAGCCTTACCACTGAGAGCACAGGCCATTTATCCAGGATTTATGTTACTGACACAACAGGAAGGACATTCTGGGGCCACTGCCACCATTTTGTGAGCAAGGTCTGACACCTGTACTTTTGTTCTCTTGGTAGCACTATCAGCAGCTCATGGTGAAAATTCGTATCAAAGAGTACTCAACCATAAGGCTGCCTGAAAAGCATGAAGTCTTAAGCTGTTGCTTCTCTTTAACACAATAATCTATAACTCTCTCTAAAAGCATCTAAAAAGGCAGAATGCACATTCCACTACTGCTCTCATTCTTGCCTGTTCTATAATGAACAGAGCTGCCAAAAATCAGCTGCAGCTGGCAGTACTAATAGTTCAGACAAAACCAGGGAGAGTTTGGGGTTTTTTTCATTTTCTCTCCTGCCTGAGGAAATAGTATATATATGGCTCCTTGCCCATCCATTCCAACACTTAAATCACACACCTATGCCTCTGGAGATGGGTGTTTGTGTGTGTGGGAGGCAATGCACAGGGATGAGGTGAGGCCTGGCAGGCAGCACCATGGCCTGTTGAAACCTCAAACCACACTTCATGCACACAGTTTAGTGCTCACTTCAGCCACAAACCCAAACTAGTGTCCATTCCATTTATGCCCCCAAACTCTTGCTCACCCAATTCACGTATTAAACCCAGGACCCCACTGATGAGGACAGTCATCCCACTTCCTCACCTGACCACGTTGGGGTGTTCAAATGTCTCCAGGTGCCTCAAAACTGCCACCTCTCGGATAGTGGACAGCGGCATCCCCTCCTCGCTGGTCTGCACCCGTACCCGCTTCAGCGCAACAAAGCGACCTCCGTTCTTCAAGTCTCGGGCTTTGAACACCTTCCCATAGGCTCCTTCCCCAATCTCAGCCACACATTCATACTGCTGGTCAGCCAGGTTTGTGCTGTCCTTATCCATGCTGGCACCAGTCCTCTTCCTCCTCTCCAAGCGCCTTGAGGTGTCTCTCAGCCTCACTTACTTTCTGAAAACCAGTACTCTGCTTGGGTGCAGACAGGCCACTCACTTGGTACCTCTGCAGGAGAGGCAGTAGGAAGCTCTTGCCCTCTTGCTCTTGTTCCTTTTCTGTACTGACCACAATGTGCCTCCTCTTCTGGCCACCAGGAATTACCATACAGTCTTTGGGAGCATTGCCTGTGTAAAGCCAAACAAATCTGGAGGGCAAACCAAGCAAGAAAAGTGAGTTTAGTTTAGTTTAGTTTACTTCATGGCTTTGCATTGTTCAAAACCTGCTAGAATCAACCTAATAGACAGCTATATGCAAAGCAAAATCGTGGTGGAAAGGAAGATGTGAACCATGAGGGTGACATATGTATCAACGTCCCCAAGTGGCTGATAACACTACAAAGTTATCACGGTCTGTGCAGAAGGCTAGGCACTCGGCTACAGAGCAACAGCATGCTGAGGGGTTTTACTGAGAATGGGCTAAAGGTGATGACTCACGTGTGATGGGGATAGCAGAGCTACCTACACATGTGTGAAGTGTACAGTGTACATCCAAAAACTTCTGCCAGGATTTCAGAACTCAAAGCTCACTTCATTGAACGTGGTGGAGTACTGGATATGTATTTTGCTATATTACTGTCATTTGCTTGTAAACAATAGCACTTGGAGGTTTCTGCCTTGGTCTGCTCTCTCCTGTGCTAAGCCGTTCATGAACAGATCGTGATCACATCACAAGAAACAAAGGGCCTGTGGACAGTCTAAATACATGCATACTTAGACGACAATAATACATTATGAAGGACTGCGCCCTGAAGTAGATTCAGAAATATGCACTTTAGCAAATATATTAACAAGCAGGGATGTTGGCTGTGGATACTGCTACATGTGTCACGGGCAGCTCTTTGCAAAGCAGCATGGTCAAAGATGTCTTCAGGAACAGCATGCTCTGCTGCAGAGTGCATTAGGCTGGAGAGCAGCAGCACTTCCTTCTGCTTCCAGCTTCATCCACTTTCTGCAGGACTGGGCAAATCCTCTCCCCTCACAAAGCTCCACATCAATTCCTCCCTTCCCCCTAACCCTGTTTAATACAGCGGTACAGGGACCTCCACGACTGTGGCACTCTCCTACACCACATTTTTACCGTGCTAAGACGAATCAGTCCCAGATAGGCGAGTCGGGGATTCCGACTCACTTAAGTGGAATTCAAGCAAAGAGCGCCTATTCTGCACACTTAAGGTGATCTTATACCTTAGCTGGAGATGAAAAGCGCAATCGGACAGAAACCTGTGCCCACTGCTCATCCCTTCTCCTCAGCTGCAGCCAGAGAGCCCTGCCTCGCCGGCTTCAATCCCCACCGCAGCTGCCACCGCACCGCCCCAGCCACCGGGCAGCCCGCGTCCCCGTCTGCAGCATCACTGGGCGACACCGAGCGTGGGCCGCCGCGGGGGGCTGCCCAGAGCCCGGGGTGCAGAGACACCCCTACCCGAGCCCGGTGTGCAGGGGATCCCCGCCAGAGCCCAGTGTGCGGTGAACCCCTGCCCGCCCCGAGCCCGGTGTGCGGGAACCCTGCCCGAGCCCGGTGTGTGGAGCCCCCTGCCCGAGCCGGTTTGGGGGGAACCCTGCCCGAGCCCGGTGTGCGGAGCCCCCTGCCCGAG